TGCCCGACGGGCAGGTGGCGGCTGGACCAGGCTGCACTCAGGGTGGGCAGCAGTGTCTCTGGGAGGAGGGCTATTTGGAGAGGCTTCAGCCACCCCAAAATTTGCCGTAGCCCCCCCCAACCCACCCTCCCAGCATCGCCACCACCCACCCCAAGCACAGCACAGCCCAATCCCACCCCCCACTTGGAACAGCCCACCACAGCCTCAGCCCCAGCCCACAGTAGCAGCCCGCCTCTCCCCGTGCAGATCCAGGGACACATGCCCCCCATGCCCTTCCGGAGTGCACGCAGCAGCAGGAGCTGCGACCCCCTCCCAGCAGCAGGCACCCCCTAGACAAGCTGCTTGTTGCTCTATCCTGCACCCCATTTGGGGGGGTTGAATGTGCATGCACTCAGCCCCCCCATATAATTTTTTCTCCCTCCACCTATGGTTGTGAGCAAACCTTAAAAATGGATCAACAAACTTTAAAAATGGATTCTTTGAAGGAGAAAAATGTGGGAAACCATGGCTTTTCCCTTGCAGACTGGCAGAGTTCCAGCCTGCAAGGGGCTGCTTGGGACCCCCCCTGCCCCACATTCTGCCCCCCCATCCCACACACCCACCCCCAACCCCACACGCTGGGGGATGGGGGGGCAGCGGTCAGGAGTGAGGGGCATTGGGTCAGGACTGGCCATTGATGTTTACAAATGGGTCCTGGTACAAAAAAGGTTGAGAACCACTGCATTAGATCCTGGAGAAGTAGGCCACCAATGGGGAAGCCCCCTTGCTTGCTACACCCCTGCATTTTTTTTATTTTAGAACAAGACAGAACAAGCTGGTTTGGGGCCTGTCTGTGCTCTTGGGATTCTCAACTGAGTTCTTAATACACAGATGTCAGTGAAGGGGGTTGGATATGCTGAACTGCTACTGGGGAACTTGTAAGTGTAATATAACTAAAAGGTTCTCCTCCTGAAATTGCCAGGATACTAGCTGAGAGCTTGCCCTGATTAGATAAGAGTGTTGCTTCACTGTTGAAAGCAGTATTCATCTGTATATTAAATGTTGCCTCTGTATGGGCAGTTGGTATTTTGCTAGCAACAGGGAGTGTTGTCACAGGTCCAAGCATTTGGGAACCATCCTAACAACCCCTGGATATCTGCCCTAGCCTACTTGGCAGAAGAGAGAGAGACAAATAAAAGATGTTTCGTACTCTTCTACCACAGAAAGAACTGCTTTTTCTTATCCCAGAAACAGTTGGTAATCTGTATCCAGGAGGAGGACCTCTAGTTCACTGAAGGCTGAAATGGAGCCATCTCCAAGGTGATCCATGGCAGCGAATTAACAGTGAATAGCAATTCTACCTAGCAGTGTATGACAGTAAATGAACATTATGATCATGGGAAATAGCAATAGTGTTTTAAGAAGACAGAATCTAATTACTTATGTTGGAATTTGGCCAAGATACCTGAGTTAACATGTATGTTCTCATAAAAAGTGCTAAGAGATTTTTAGTGCATATGGGGTACAGACAGAAGTTCAGCTCCCCACTGTAACTGAGAACACTTTGCAGGAAGTGTTCTGAGTTCCAATGTTCCCCAGGACCAAACAGAAGTTCGCTGTTGGTTCCAGGTAGAAAGGGAATCTAGCTGCTGGCTGCAGCCGGTTTCCCCTAGCAATGGCCCCTCCTCCCTGCCAGCCCCAGCTGTTTTCAGAAGGGGAGGGAGAAAAGAAAGCAGAGGGAGCTCATTCTAGGGCAGGGGCGGGAAAAATACGGCCCACAGGCTGGATCCATTCTATCTGGCCCGCGGGGCCCCTAAAAATTTAGAAAATATTTATCTGCTCCTAGCTGCTTGTCAAAGATGGCAGGAGCCAGGGGGAGTAGGACCCAGGGGGAGCCATCAGCAGGACACAGCAGCCCAGCCCTGCCTCACCCCTGACCATTTCCCTACCTTCCTGCCCCTGCACCATTCCGGCACCACCTGGCTCCTGGCTGCATCGCTGGACTGCGGGAGCACAGGGCCCACACTGGTACCCTAGGGTGTGTGTCTGTGTGCATGGGGAGGGACTCTGTGTGTGTGTGTGTGTGTGTATGTGTGTTCTTCAGGTGAGTCCTGCATGCGCATCCCACCATACACATGCACCCACACCCCCCTTGCACTGCCATACACACAGACCCCCACATACTCCAGCCACCTTCCCCCCACACGCATCCCCCCTACACTTAACATATCCACACACATCCACATGCTCCTTCACCCCACACCCCAACACCTATTCCCCCCACAGACGCATCTACACCATCCCCCACACACCCACAGCCCTCTACAAACCTATACCCCCCTCACAATATACAAGAGTAAGACTTCATTTTAAGCTATTATATAAAATCACCTCTGCGTACACTACACAAACACTTACAAACCAGAACAAAAATATTTTTTGAAATCAAATTAATGAATATTTTAGATGTTCTATTTAGAATTTATTTTGGTGTTTTTCTGGTTACAAGAAGGCAAAACCCCTTGCTGAAAGGAATACTTCTGGAGGCAAGTGGAGGGACTTCTGGTGGCAAAGGTCAGGGGGTTAGGGAGTGGGACTTCCAGTTACAAGATGGCAACCAGGGGGCAGGGTACCTGTCAAGGGTTGGGGCTACCCATGTGGCCCTCAACAGCTTGCCAAAACTCAGTAAGCATCCCTCTGCCCGTAAAAATTGCCTACCTCTGTTCTAGGGGTTCTCCAGCCAGCTCTGGAGGGGAGGATGGGTAAATTGGAGCCCCCCCGGCCGCACCTGTGGGGGGGACTCCAATGCACCCACCCCATCCTTCAGCGGGGGCTGAAGAAACCACAAACCAAACTCTCTCCACTC